TATATATATATATATATATATATATATATATACTGACACGTGGAATTTTGTGACGTGGCAGCACTTTGGGGTGCTTTCAGTTGTGTCTGGTATTTCCACCTCTAGAGAAGCGTTTCAGTAACTTTCGCTGACTTTTTGAACCGCTCATAGCTCAATCTCTCCTTGCAAGGACAACCTGTAAACCTAGGCTACCTTCTACTGATAAACGACAGGGAAGCTGCGCAACTTGCCTTGTCTGGAGGCTAGCATGGAGAGACAGAACTCTTCCGATTCACCGATTGCGGCTCTTATGCCCATACTAGGGGACATGGCAGCAACACGTGGGGTTGCCTGCAGGAGCGGCTGCAGCAGCAACTACAGCAGCAGGATGGTATTTGTAGTGTTCCGGGTTTGCTGTCGTCTGCAGCAGCAGTGTCAGAGCCGCAGCTGTGTGCTTCAAATCGGTTATCCAACACAATACAAGCAAAGCATTTTCTCTTCCTGCGTCTGCCTCTGTGACTCCCCATATGGGAACACAACTGCAGTCAGCAAACAGCTGCGCGTCCTACAGCATCTCCCTTTGCTGCCTGCAGCCTCACAAGCTGTGATGGTGACTTGTTTGTGATGCTGCACGCGCGCTTAAGAGAGAAGAAAGATAAATGAGTTTAAATGGGTCAACCAATAGACAAGTTACGGTATTCTGTTTATTCGGCTGCTAAGTTTAAGTCCCCGCAAAGCCGCCTGCCTGCGTTTCCTCCTGACATTTACTGGAAACCCCATGCAAGGAGACTCTATACGCCTGGTGCATGCATGCATGTTGCCTACATGCATGCATGCATGCAGCCCTGCATCCATGCGGTGGCTGTCCGTATCATCGAGCCATCGCAAGCCACTCGTTTCTTTAGTGTCTGCACTACAGCAAGGGAGGGCGGTTGCAATGGCACGCCTACAGATGCAACACCTGCTGCAGCAGCCACGCACGCAAGCGCCTCTCTCTATATAATGTACACATTAAATATATATTTATATATATTTATACTTATATATATTTATATATTTATAGGTGCTGCTGCGAGTGTCGGCCTGGTTCTCTAATATTTCAGACGTGACGGGCCTAGGACAGCCCCGGCGACGAGCAGAAGCACCTCTGCAGACACCCAGAGGCGTTTGTTTATTTCCTCTTAGACATTCTCCTTGAGGCTGCCTCCTCCTCTTGCAGGTGCATGCGGGGCTGCTCAAGAGATGTCCTGCATGTTAGGAGCTGCAGTTAGTTCGACATCCGCCTCACAGAAGCGGCTGCATGTTTTGTTTGATGCTGTGCAGCAGCCATTGGTGCTGCTCTGCTGGAGCAGCACCAGCAGAGCAGCACCAGCAGCTGCTGCTCCGATGCTGCCGCCTCTGCAGCACCTACGACTGCGGATGCAGCTGCAGCAGCAGCACATGCCGCAGCTGCAGCAGCAACTAAAGCGCCTTATTTCCCAGTTGAGAATATCGGGTGCCGCAGCGCCTCCTTCGGGTCCGGACGTTTCCGCGGGTCTATTTGCAAAATATATCGTACGAAATCCGCCAAAAGACGGTCTTGAGGGAGCACCAACTCCTGATAACAACACCACAACAACAACAGCAGCAGGAGCACGAACAGCAGCAGCTCCATCTTCCAACTTGCCACCCAACACCCAAATGACAATATTGTTGAGCAACCAAAATATATCCAAGTACATGTTGATGTTTATGTGCAGGGGGCATCAACAGTTCGACCAGAAGAATAAACAACAAAGCATGCCTATGGGGTATGTCGATAGCAGAGTACAGCAGAGTGCAGGACATACTCCAAGAAAAACACGCATGCGGATCTAATACTCCGACGCTGGAACCAAGGACAAACAACCTTAAACCCCAAACCCTAAGCCCTAGTACAGACCTCTAGAGGGACGCAATCCTTGACTCGATTGACACTTCCTGCAGAGGCGGCTCCTTCGGGCCACTTAAGTCGAACTTCTCCTCGGCTGTCTGTTGTGAGGTATCCTTTCCCTGCCCCTTTTTGGGCCTTTTGCAACATGTCTTTTGGGAAGGGTTCGACGATGCGTTCCTGAATGCGCATCCAGTGCAGTACAATGCAGCAAAGCCCCGTTACCCCTCCCTCCTCAACAGGTGTACAGACACCTACGAGAAGGTGCCCATACAGCGCAAAGCAGATGCTGCTGCAGCAGTGTTGCACTCACCATCATTGCTAAGTGCTCAAGATGCTCGTGTGTACGAAATAAAACATCGCCGGTGTACAACTCCATGAGTATACACCCCAAGGACCACATGTCATTTGCCATATCCCAGCCGATGTCTGAACAGCATACACCGACAGCAGCAGCAGCAAAGTCAAGTATACAGTGGAGGACACACAACAACAACAGCAGCAACACAGCTATAGGCACTGCCCAGCAGCTAGAGCAGCGCCGTTGTTCCTGCTGCAGCACAGAAATGCCACTAGAGCGACACACGGACACAAGACACTTGTGTTGCCTTCCTCCTGCAGCTCTGTTGAGCTGCAGCAAAAACACCAGCAGCAACAACATCAAAGCAGCAGCAAACACGTACCGAGTATAACTTCTGGAGCCCTATATTGTCGTGTGTTAATGAGAGAAGAATGATAATCTTCCTCAAAAGTGGCACTTCCGAAATCAATGATTTTAACCTGCATGCTAGCAGGTCGGAGGTAAGGGGTAGAGCAATCGTCTTCTTCTGAAGGCTGTGAGTACATACACCACAACAAAAAGAAACGAACGAAAAATGAGGCAGATGAGACAGTGACAAAGCAGCCAATCTGCTGCTGCTGTTGCAGCAACAGTTGAAGCAGCAGCAACAGCAGCAGAGAAAGCTGCGCAGTAGTGCAACTCTTGTAACAACACGGAAACATGGCAATAAATCGCAGAAGCAGCAGCACGCGCGATGCCTGCCTTAAAACAAAGAAGAGATGTACATATGAGCATTATAATTACATCCTAAATAAAATATATTTATATTGAATAATTATATTTGCATGCATTCTCCTGTTGCACAACAAAAGGAGGAGTGAAGAAGTACCCTAGGAGCGCGCGTCTCGAACATCTTCTCTCCGCGCAGCAAAATGTTCTCCGGCTGTAGTGGCACAAAACCACAAACCCTAAACTCCAAACCCTAGACCCTTATTGGTAAACATCCCTCCCCTACTCCTAAACCCTAGTCCATAGGGGTCTACGCAGCTCTGTAAACCCTTTATCCCAAACAGCGAAAGAAACCCCGGTTAAAAACCCTTTGCTGCTGGAGCCGCAGGCACGAATCTATTAGCCTGCATGCGTACATGCTGCATGGAAGGAATACTGGGGCTGCATGCATGCATATATGCTTATTACCTTGAGGTCTGTGTGTGCGAGTTTACAGTCTCGCATGAATGCCAGTGCATTAAGTCCTTGTCTAGCAACTTCAATAATATCTTGTAGATAAAACCCTCTATATTTATTATCGGATAAAACATCATAAAGACTTTTACCTAGACATTCAAATACTAAACACATATGTCTTTTATGATACATAAATGCATCTAATAAACATACACAGCCTGAATCCTTCCTATAATCCTTCCTATTCAACTTCCTTAATATATCCGCCTCTATCTCTGCTGCTGCAGTATAACGAGCCACATCACGAACAACCTGCACACAACAACAAACCACAAACACTAAACCCTAACCGCTAAGCCCTATATACCCACCCCAACCCCAAACACCCTGCTACATATATAACCTGTCTGCGTTTCCTGCTCGCTCTACAAACCATCCCTACCCGTCATCCCCCTTCTCCTGCTTTTGCTGTTGTTCCTGCTGCCATTTATTAACTTATTTACGTATTTACCTTGATGGCAACTTGTGTTTGTAGTAGTACATCAACACATCTAAGTACTCTACCAAAAGTACCATCACCTAACTTGGCGAGGACACGATATCTGTTGTTGAGCCAAAGTCCCGGTTTCCAGGAAAAGTGTGTAATTTCATCTCTATTTGCTTCTTTATTCTGTTTCCTTAAGGTCTTATGCTGTGGCTGCTGCTGCTGCTGCTGTTGCTGCTGCTGATGATGATGATCCGAAGAGTCTGCATCCTCGTGCTGCTGAACATGACGCTGAGATGAATGTACGCGACTCTTCTTGCTGCTGCTACCTGCTGCTTCTCTTCTGCTGCGACGCTCCTGGGTGTGCTTGCTGCTGTTAGGCTTAGAAGAATATGCAGCAGGAGCAGCAGCTCGACCGTTTGTTGGGCTGTAGTGGCGTGTCTTGTAAGGACTGCTGTGCTTTCGAGAGCTCCTTCCTCCTCCTGATGCTGCTGCTGATGGTGGTGGTGCTGCTGCTGCTCCACGATGCCTTTCTCCGCCCCCACGACGACTACCCCCACTGCTGCACTCGCTGCTGTGCCATTTGCTGCTGCTGCTGCGGCTTCTGCTGCAGCTCCCACGACGCCGCACCTCCTTACCATACCAACGACCAGAATATTGACGCCTCTTGCTGTAGTCACCACCTGCACCAGCAACAGCAGAACGACAGCAATAGCAACAATATTACAGACAGCAGCAGCAACGGCAGCAAAAGCGCAGGCAAGGAAGAAACAAACGCCAACGACAGCAAGGAACATGCCACAGCTCCTTGAAACCCACCAACCGCAACAACAGCAGCAACAACATTAGCTGCAGCAACAGCATCAACACTAGCGGCTTCCTAAACCTGCTTTTAACAGCAGCAGCACATCAACAACAGTAGCAGCAGCAACACCAGCAGCAGCAGCAACTAACCTGCAGCTCCTGTATGCTTCCTTGACTTGACTGTGGGGATACGACCGGGTGAAGGAGACGGTCTGTGGGGTCTGCTGCTGCAATGTCTGCTGCTGCAGTGTCTGCTGCTGCAGTGTCTGCTGCTACAGTGCCTGCTGCTGCAGTGCCTGTTGCCTCTATCAGTCAGAGGAGGAGGTCTGCTGCTGTCTCTGTCTCTCCCCCTATGCCTGCCGCTGCGCCCCCTCCTGCTGCTGCTGTCTCTTTCCCTGTCTCTTTCTCTGCTTCTGTCTCTGCTGCTGCGGTAGGAGACAGCAGCTGCAGTAGAACAGCCTCCTGCATCAACAGAGGGCCTTCTGCTGCTGCGGTGGGACCCTGTAGGCTGCAGCAGGCGCTGCTGCTGCTGTTGCTGCTGCAGGTGGTGATGGTTGTACCTCCTGCTGCTGCTGCTGCATTCATCTCTGTCTCTCTCTCTGTCTCTGTTTCTGTCTCTCTCTGGTCTGCTGCTGCCGCATGCATGCCGCTTTATGCTGCGACGTCGGCAGCCTGGGGATCCGATGCCAGATCGCAAATTGTTTTTGCTGCTGCTGCAGCTGCTGCGGTTGCGGCTGCGGCTACTGCGGTGTCTGCACAGCTGCTGCGCATCTCGAGAACGACTGCGACTGCGACGGCCGGTGGGCCCCCCACTTGTGCTGCCCCGGCTCATTGCTTCTGCTGCAGCTGCTGCTGCTGCCGCTGCTGCTGCTGCTGCTGCACCTCCTCCTCCTCCCCCTCCTCCGCTCGGTGCTCCTGCTGCTGCAGGGCCACCTGCTGAAGGATTTATACACTCAAGGAGACAATTGCTGCCTCTGCAGCCTGACAATACGGAGGGCAGCAGCAGCAGCTGCTGCTGCCCCTACTGCTGCTTCTGCAGCAGCTGCTGCTGCTGCGAGGGAGGGTTGTGCTGCAGAAGCCTCCACAGCAGCAAAATTAATTCCTGTCTTTTGCTGTACTACAGAAGACGGGAACTCCTTGCGAGCCCCGGGGCCCTACGAATGCTGCTGCGGCTGCTGCTGTTGTTGCTGCTGCTGCTGTTTCTGGCGCTCCATCCGAAGCCGGTGAGACCGCTGCTGCGGCTGCTGCTGCTCTTGCAGCCTGTTGCTCCTGTCAGTATCAGTCTGAATCAACCAATGAATTGCAACGCCAACCAATGGAAGTGCAGGATCAGCTGCAGCTCCTGCTGCTGCTGCTGTTGCTGCTGCCGCTGCTGTGGAGGCCCCCGCTGCTGCTGCTCGGCGGCTGAGGACTCAATATAGACAGCTGCAGCAAGTCTAAACAACAGAAAAATAAAATAGGCGAAGTTTCTTGTTATTGCAGCAGCAGGAGCCGCAGCAGAAACACGCGGGGAGGCAGGCGCATGCAAGGAGCCCCTGTGCTGCTGCCTGCTAGGGTTGTCGGTGTTGATGCATCTGCTGCTGCAGTACTAGTGGGTCTGCTGCTTATAGTTGCCAATAAAGAGCTGCATATACACCGCAAACTGCAACAACTTCTCTATTGCTGCTGCTCAAGACCCCGAACTGTGGGGCGGCCTCGCGGGGCCCTTTGAAGCCCCGTGTTGCTGCTGCAGCAGTAACAGCTGCAGAAGCAACAACAACAGTAACAGCAGCAGAAGCATTAATAAATAATATATATTTCTTTTTTCTCCATCAGGAGCGCCCTCAGCAGCAGTACTTATGAGATGCTGCTGCCCCTAACTCTAACAGAGTGATCGGGCGGAGGCCCTTAAGGGTTTAGGGTTTAGGGTTTAGGGTTTAGAGTTTTGCGGCTTAACGCGGGATGGCGTATCCACGGGCGACGTAGGTGGCGGTTCACCCGTCCCGTGTGTAGCTGCAGAGCGGCACAGCAGCAGGAGCACCAGCAACATTGTCGTCGTCCTCTGCCACAGCAGCCCAGATACAGCTGCTGCTGCTGCAGGACCAGGAACGTAGATGTTAGCACCAGCTGCTGGCATCAGTTACAGCAGAGCCTGCTAAACTGAAGTGAACATACACCTGAGGCAGACAATGGAGGTGGGCAAGGCAGCTAGTTGTATCGTAGCTGCAGCAAATCGGGCCCTCTCCGCGCTGCTGCACCCAATCCCGCTGCTGCGCTGCGGCTTTTCATCATGTAACGGCGCCGCTGTTGCTCCTGCTACTGCTGGTGTTGTGCTGCAGACACCGCAGAGGCGAGGTCGCTACGCAGTAGAAGATTGGTCCACTGGAACTCACTATGGCTGCAAGTGCGTTCAAGCAGCAGAACCAGCAGCAAGAGTAGCAGCAACAGCAGCAGGAGTAGCGTCGATCAGCCGCAAGAGTAGTAGTAGTATCAGCAGCAAGAGCAGTAGCAGCAGCATGCAGCAACGGAAGCAGGCAGCAGACTCAACCCGAAGCAGTAGCCAAGTTGGTGTTGAAAATTTGCACATTTGCGCTGCGGCTGATGCTGCTTCTGCTGCTGTTGCTGCTGCTGCGGCTGCTGCTGCAGGAACTGCGATAGCAGTCTCTTCTCATCAGCATTGCTGCTGCCGAAACCCACGCGCAGTAAGACAGCAACAACTCTACACCTGGTTCTTACTGTCCTGCTGCTGCAGCAGCAGATGCTGCAGCTGCAGCAGCAAATAACTCTCTTGTTGTTTGGCCGATCCAGCGAAGCGCTAAGCAAAGTCCCGTTGCTGCTGGTGCTGGATCTGTTGTTGCAGCTGTGGCTTATGCTGATGCTGTGCCTCAGAAGTGTATGCTATGGCGGCGCTGCTGCTGCATGTCCCCACAACTTCCTGCCCACCGCAGCAGCAGCAGCAGCAGCATGAACACGATGAGTCTCAGGAGCAGCAGGAGGAAAAGAAACAGAACCAACAGCAGCAGCAGGGAACGGCAAAGAGTCCGTTGTGCGGCGTGTTGCAGCAGCAGGATCGCTGCCCGGTGTATGTTCAGCCTGCAGCAGCAGCAATAGAAGCAGCAGCAGCACCTTTGCTGCTGCAGGAGCTGCAGCGGCTGCGGCAAAAGGAATGGTTAGATGATGCGGTTATAAATGCATTCTTAAAGTTGCTGCAGCAAGACAACAACAACAAACACAAACAAAACCCCAACTGGTACTATGCTGCTGCTGGTGTTCCTGCTGCTGCTGCGGCTGTTGCTGCTGCACCGGCAGCAGAAGCTGCTGTTGCTGTTGTTGGCGCTGCTGTTGTTGCTGGCGGTGCTCTGGCCACAAGGGAAGCAGAGACCTGCGCGTTAATTTTTCTGCTGTTGTTGCTGCTGCTGCAGCGTCCCTAAAGTCAGTATCGTGAACACTTTCTTCTTCTCTGTGCTCTATAGTGACCCCGAAGAGGCAGCCAGAGTCCAGGTAAATATTAGGGTTTAGGGTTTAGGGTTTCAAGTGGCCTCTCCGGTCGGAGCCTCAGCGCCAACGGATCTTAGTCTTACGTTTTAGGGTTTAGGGTTTAGGGTTTAGGGTTTGTGCTACAGAGATGGACGCGAGGCGTTGATATTTTTTCTTCTCGATTTCTGCTCGTTCCTCTTCACGTTAGAACTGTTCATTGGGCTTTGGGTGTGGTGGATATCGCGTAAGCTGCTGCTGCTGCGTTGTTGCTGCTGCTGCCGTTGCAGTTGTTGCTGCTGGTGGTTCTGTCTATTGCTGTTGTTGTTGCTGCCGGTGTTGTTGCTGTTGCTGTGGTTGCTGGGATGCTGCTGCGCCGGTAGAAGTCTGTTGAATGGGCTCGCCTGTTGCACGTGGCATTCCCTGCTGCTACAGCTGCTGCTGTTGCTGTTGCTGCTGCTTGTGCATGCAGACGAGGGCTGACATTTGTATTTGACGCGCTGCCGCAGCAGTTTGGGGCTTTTCATGAAGTTATAAAACCCTTCCTTAACGATTTGTGGAGGCAAAGAGGCAATAGTAAGGCTATTAGGCCTTGCTGCTGCTGCTGCACCTGCTGCTGTCGTTTGCGCTCCCGTTGTTTTGCAGAGTTTGGTGAGCTGCTGCTGCTGTTGCTTCTGCTGCAGCTGAGGCCCCGCCTGAGTGGCAGGCGGCATTGCCCTGTGCCTTTTCATATGATATCCCGCAAGTAGATCGGTGTGCTCAGCAGCAGCAACAACAGCAGCAACAGCAGCAGCAGCAGCAGTGGGGGGACAACAGCGCGGGAAAAGGCTTTAGTGGGAGGCATCAACATCATCTCAATTCGACTCAGCGGTCCCCTAGATCCAGGCGCTTACTGGGTTGCAGCAGTTGCAGCAGCAGCAGCAACAGCAGCAGCAACAGCAAGTGTGCCGGATTCTTCGTTCCTCCGCAGGAAGGGTCTGATGACTGCGGTGTTTTTTTGTGTCTTTTTGCTGCTGCTATTGCCAATGGGAAATCTTTTAAATTCTCGCAGCAAGATGTTGCTGCATGCAGACTTCGATTGGTAAGTCTCCTGCTGCTGTTGCTGCTGTTGCTGCTGCGGTTGGTGCTACTGCTGATCAGTGTAGTCAGGAAGGCGGAAATTGATTTGCTCTCTGGTTTTTGCCGAATGTCTGCAGGCGGCCGCTCTACTGGAAAGGCCTTGAGGACCTTCGAGAGCAGCAGCAACAGCAGCAGCAGGTAGCGTGGGAGTAGTTGGTTAAGAAGGTGGGATCGGTGCACAGCAAGAGAAGAAACAACAGCACTAAAGTTTGAATCTTCATAGCCAAAGGGATACCTGCATGCATGAATGCATGCCGCATGCGTGAGCTTCAAAGCCCCGTTAACGGTCAAGCAAAGGGCCGTTTTATGGAAGCGTGCATGTAGCTCCATTCTTTCCCTGCCTGCCCGCCTACATGCACCCATACAGGGAAAGAATGTGGCTGTTGTTTCGTTTATTGGGTGCATGCATGCATAGACAGACGCTGCATGCATACTGAGGGCAGTTGTGGCTGCATGCCTAATGGCAGCACACGCTAGGGAACCCTAATGCAGAGACTAAACCTTATCACTATCTGAGGGCTGGTAAATCCTAAACCCTCAGTAAACACTCTTTAGCAAATACTATCTTGTGGACCCCGTAAAGGGGTTTGTTAAACATATGTGCACACCCTAAGCCCAAAAAACTGAGGTCCTGTACAGCTATTCTCCTCACATAGGCAGGGCAGGGTTCAGGGCTCTCGTGTGTACCCTTCTAGGGTTTACGACGAAGGGTTCGGCAATTTCGGGTTTTAGGGTTTAACGGTTGGGGATCTAGTGTTAAGTGATTTAGGGGTTTAGGGTTTGAGGAATCGAGTGTAGCTAATCAGAACTGGGGTTTAGAGCTTAGGGAGTAGAGTTTAGGGTTTAAAGGTCAGCTGTTTAGGGTTTAGGGCTTAAAGATTAGGGTTAAGGGTTGGCGGTTTCACGATTAGGGTTTAGGGTTTACCGCTTGCTTTGTTGTGGTTGTCGGCTGCCGCCGTCGAGGCCCTGCATGCATGCCGCGGCATGCAAGACTTTTCCTTTCTTAATTTTAAATAAATTAAAAATATAAATTAAAAAATAAATAAAATACTAACAAACACTGCAAATTATTTCCTTATTTCTCTTTTCCTCCTTCTTCTCCCAATGGACCCAGCCGCGCACACAACCCCCCCTAGTCTAGGGTTTAGGGTTTAGGGTTTAGGGTTTAATGTGTAATTTTTAGGGGTTGCTGGAATCCATATAACGAAGCGCATGTTCTCAACAGCGCATTTCCTTCTGCTGCTGATTCTGCTGCTGCTGCTGCTGCAAGCGGAGAGCACCACCAACACCTTCCATAGGAAGCTTCCTGCATGCAGCATCGATCGGCGCGCTGCTGCTCCTGCTCCTGCTGCTTTTGTTGCTGCTAGACCTTTGCTGACGCATCCCCAGCTCCTGTGGAGATGCGCCCCGGCGTCAGCTACTATTCCCGTTGCAGCAACAGCAACAACAGGAGAAGGAGAAGGAGAGGCAGCAGCAGCAGCAGCAGCTCCTGCTCTTCCTGCTGCTGCTGATGCTATACCTGCAGCAAGCAGCGCATCTGTGCTGCCGCGATGCCCTGCTATTGATTACCTTAAATCCCTTAGGCCGCCGCTAAAGCAGACGCTACCGCCTGTAGGCAAAACCCCAGCAGCAGCAGCTGCTGCTGCTGCTGCTGTGGCGCTGCAGGAGTATGCTGTGGAAGCAACAAGAGGAGCAGCAGCAGCTGCTGCTGCTCTTAAGGGCTTCCCATCTCGTGTCCGAAATCCAACAGCAAGGCAGCTGCTACATCTGGTCCTGCACCACCAGCAGCAGCAGCAGGAGAAGCAGCAGCAGCAGCAGCAGCAGCAAGAGCAGCAGCCAATGCAGCAGCATACGCCGCTTTCAAGGGAACGGATCGAGACTGTGCGGCAGCAGCTGCGGCTGTTGCATCAGAGTATTATCTCATCAGGCAGGCTACAATGCTGCTGCTGCTTCTTCCCCTGTTGCTGCTGCTGTTGCTGCTGGTGATTGGTGGAGGTACAGTGCAACAACACAAGTTGCTGTTGCTGCTGCTGCTGCTTTGTTTGCTGCTGCAGCAAAACTCATATCTAGCGAAGTGCGAGCTCTAGGGCGTCGCGGCTCTCGTTTGGCTGTTCGAAGGGTATGTCTTGCTGCTGCTGCTGTTGCTGCTGCTGCTGCTGCTGTTGCAGCGGTTGCTGGTGCCATTTTAGAGACTGCTGCTGTTGCTGCTAGTTGCTTCGGCTGGCACTGCTGTTGCTGCAGCTGTTGTTGTTGCTGCTGCTGCACCTGCTGCTGTGGTTGTTTGTATTGATGGTGCTCAGTGCTACAAAGAAGGCGAAGCAAAGCTGCGGCAGCAGCTGCTGCTGCATGCACCGTCGCTGCAGCAATACACAAACTTAAAGGGATATATTGATTGGCTGCTTTCTAAGGGATTCCTGTTAGAGGTAGCTGCTGCTGCTGCTGCTGCTGTTGCTGCTGCTGTTGTTGCTGCTGCTGCTTTGGATGTTGCATGCGCGATGGGTTCTTTTTTTAACTATCCATTCTGCTGCTGCTACTGCTGCTGTTGCTGTTACTGCTGCTGTTGCTGTTACTGCTGCTGTTGCTGTTGCAGTTACTGCTGCTGCTGCAGCTGCTGCTTCCGTGTTGTTTCTGCAGCGCGGGTGGAGCAATGGGCCGTGTGTGTGTTTCCTTTCAACGGCAGCAGCAGCAGAATCCGCAGGAGCAGCAGCAGCAGCAGCAGCAGCACCTGCAGCACTAAATGGTAGTGCTGCATTCCTTGGAGGTCTTCGATTGTTTATGGCTTCTGCTGCTGGCAGGACGAAGGTAGCAGCAGCAGACACTGTAAACCCTAAACCCTAGATCGCTCTAAACCCTCGTATGCAGTAGATAGTAAAGCCTGCTGCTGCTGCTGCTGCTGCTGCTGCTGTTGCCGTTGCATGTGCTGCAGCTGCTGCTTCTCCCCTCCCTCATTAATGCCACAGAGGACTGCAATCGCTTTCTTCTTGCAGTAAGAACTTCTTCCAAGGGTTAGGGTTTAGGGTTTAGGGTTTAGTGTCTAGGGCTTAGGGTTTAGGGTTTGCGCTCTTCTTCCTCTGCTGCAGCGCGCTGTCCTTGGATCGACTCCCGCTGGTGTCTGTTTTGTGACGGATGCCCGTATGCTTAACTGCAGCAGCAGCAGCAGCAACAGCAGCAGCAGCAGCAGCAGCATGGCGGCAAGCGGGGGTTTGCAGCTGCGATCCACTATGAGAAATCTCTTCCCTAAGAGGCCGTGGTATGTCTAGGGTTTAGGGTTTAGGGTTTAGCTTCTTCTGTTGAGGTTTAGTCTTTAGCTGTTTGCTGTTGTTGTTGTTATTGCTGCTGCTGCTGTACTGTGCTGCTGCTGCTGCTGCTGCTGCTGCTGCTGCATATGTGGTTTGCTGTTAGGCTTGATGTGGTTTGCAACACCTCCTGCCTAACCCCCGAAGAGAAAGACCTCCTGCAGGTAATCTGCTGCTGCTGCTGTTGCTGCTGCTGCTGTTGTTGCTTTGATTAATGGTCGTGCTGCTGCTGTTGCTGCAGCAGAAGCTGCTGCATGCAGAGTGCATGCATCGGGGTGTCTATCCACCTGTGCAGGAACAGCTGCCCTACGCGTTGCTAATAGAAGGCCCGCTGCAGCAGCAGCAACAGCAGCAACAGCAGCAGGAGAATTTGGCGCTTCGCAACTACATAGCGGGACTGGTGCAGAGAGTGCGGCCTCTTGCTGCTGCTGCTGCTGCTCGATTGCAGCGGCAGCAGCAACCGCAGCAAGCAGAATTGCTGCAAGACGCCCTTGATGTGTATAACCTTTTACGTAGGAGACGTGGCAATATTACCTAAACCCTAAACCCTAAACGAGGGTTTAGGGTTTAGAGTGTTTGACGGAGGGAGAAAGAGGCTGCTGCGCAGACCCTCCGTCCCGTTTTGCTGCTGTTGCTGCTGCTGCTGCCGCTGTGTCTGTTTGCTGCCTCTAGCACCACTAGCCGCAGCAGCATTCCCTGTTGGGAGCATGCAAAGAAGACACAGCAGCAGCAGCTAGAAGCAGCTAGTTGCAGCTAGCTGTATATATCTAGCTGTAGCTAGTCGTATATAGCTATGCGTAGCTAGCCATAGCTAGCTACAGCTAGCCATAGCTAGCTGCAGCTAGCTGTGTCTGCTTCCCTGTCTTGGCTGTTTGTTCTTGTTCTCGGTCTTGAGGTGTATATAACAAAAATTATTTATTTTATTTATTTTGTTTATTTTATTTATTTATTTTTTGTTTGTTTTATTTAACTTATTTTCTCTTATATTTAGTTAACTTATTACAGTTAGTACACCGTGCTGCAGCAGCAGCAGCAGCAGCAGCAGGGCAGCAGCAGCAGCAGCAGCAGATGTGTTGGTAGAAGAAGAGGCCTTTGAATACCAGTTAGTGTAGATGCAGCATTAGGGTTTATAAGAAGGGGAGAAAGGCCTTCTTAGATAGCGCATGCAGCAGCAGCAGCAACAACAACAGCAGCAGAAGCAGCAGCAGCAACAGCAGCAATGTCAGCAGCTCTTAAGGAAGGAAGAGAGAGAGAGTAGATGCAGCAAAAGTAGCTGTGTGTGCAAACCCTAAACCCTCGTAAACCCCAAGACATGCATACTTTCCCGTGCAGCGAGCAGCAAAAGGGTTTAGGGTTTAGGGTTTAGGGTTTAGATATTCTTCCTGCTGCTGCATCTTTATTGCATTGTTTTGTTTATTTATGTTATAAAATAAGGGTTTATTTCCTTAAAGACAATTTAGTTGCTGCTGATATTCTCTAGAGCTCCGCCCCACACCCAAACCCTAAACCCTAAACCCTAAACCCTAAACCCTCATTAATGAGGGGTGAGACAAGGGTTGCAGCTTCTGCCAATAGAAGAGCAGCAACAGATATTCATTTGCTGCTGCAGCAGATGCAGCAAAAGGATATTAAACAATTGGGATGAAATGCAGCGGCTGGTTGTATACAGCTGCTGCTGCTGTTGATGTAGCTGTTGTAGCTGCTGCAGTAGCTGCTGCTGCTGCTGCTGTTGCTGCTGTTGCTCTGCTGCTGCTGTTAGTTCAAGCAGTGCAGCAACTTGTATTATTGTGTTATATAAACACCTTAATTGATTTTCATTACCACCTTAAGAGGAAGGGCGTAGCAGCTGGTGGTGGTGGTGCTGCTGCTGCTAGTGCTGCTGCTGCTGCTGCTGCTGTTGTTGTTGGGCACTGCAGCTGCAGCAGAGTTGTTTGCTGCAGTTGAGGTGTATGTACACTGGAACGCTGCTAATACAATCAATACAAAAGCAGCAGGAGAATCAAATGATGGAGTATTAAAAGTGGTGCTGCAGCAGGAGCAGCAGCAGCAGCAGCACATTGCTTATATTAGGCGGCGGCGCTGCTGTTGCTGCAGTCGTTCTGCTGCTCCCCCACAGCTCCTGCAGCGGCTGCAGCAGCAGCAGCGGCGGCAGCAACAGCAGCAGCTCCATCTGTTCTGCTGTTTGTGCGTCGTCTGGGGGAATTCGGAAAATTAATTGAGATTCTGCTGCCGCCTGTTGTTTTGCGTAGGCTGCTTGATGGACTTGCAGCAGCAGCAGCAGCAGCAGCAGCGGCAGCAGCAGCAGCAGCGGCAGCAGCAGAATTCGTTTCCGCTATTGCGGAGACACCGCTCATCTTCTTTTCTTTGCAGGACTTCTAACTTTGCTGCCTCTGCTCTGTCGTCCCCCTGTATACACATTACTGCTCCGTCGCCCGCAGCAGCAGCAGCAGCAACAACAGCAGCAGCAGCAGCGGCAGCAGCAGCGGCGCCCCCCCGGTATTTGCTAGGAGAGCACCAGCATCTACAGTGACCAAAGCAGAAACAACACCAATTTTGCTCTAAAGTAGCGGTGCGGTATTCCCTGTCCGTGGCGAGCTGCTGCTGCTGCGCTACAGCAGCAGCCGCAGCAGCAGCAGCAGCAGCAGCAGCAGCAGCGACAGCCGCATCAGCAGCAGTTGCCCAGGCGCCGCCAGGGTATTTTCTTAAATCTTTGTAGCCCATCAGGGTGTAATACCCTGCTATTAGATAGCAGCAAATACAGCAGCAACAGTCGCTTCTGTAGCAGAAGCAGCAGAAGCAGCAGCAGCAGCAGCAGCAGCAGCAGCCATTGCTGCAGTCAACCGCCTTATCGTTGCTGCTTCCTCTGCCGTTATAAGACAGCGGATATATCGCGCTGTATAGCCGGTTTTTCAGCTTAGCAGCAGCAGCAACAGCAGCAGCTGCCGCAGCAGCCAGCAGCCGCAGCCGCAGTAACCCCTAACAGCAGCAGCAGCAGCAGCAGCAGCGGCAGCAGCGGGTAGTGTTAAACACTCCATTTCCGATCTTTAGATCTTTTGTGTTATTTGTGGGGAGCTTGCTGCCGCGAAGCATAAAGAGAGGGCTTTGCTGCTGCTGCTGCTGCTGCTGCTCCTGGCTGCTGCTGCTTAGAGGAGCAGCCATCCACAATGTCTGCTGCAGACACAGACACTCCTCCCCACAATGCTGGGCTGCTGAAGCTACAGCAGCAGCAGCAGCAGGGGCAGGAGTCTGCAGCTGATAAGTGCAGCTCGCAGCAGCAGCAGCAGCAGCAGCAGCCGAAGGCAATGAGCAGCAGCAGCGCTCCTAGCCCAGATTGCAAGCAGCAGCAGCAGCAGGGCAACGGCCGCTCTACGTTGAGGGCGGATGCCTCTGAATTTAGACCCCTGCCTAAGCCTACGACCCCACAGCAGCAGCAGCAGCAGCAGGCGGGTGCAGCAAACAGCATCTCCAACGAGAACAGCAGCAGCACCAACAACAGCAACAGCAGCAGCAGCAACAGCAGCAGCAGCAGCAGCAGCGGGAAAGCCTACCAGTTCAACCGCAATGCACAGGAGTTTGTGCCTGGTAGGCCGTATGTGTTGCCAGGTACAGCAGCAGCAGCAGCAACCCCTGTAGCAGCAGCACCAACAGCAGCAGGGTATGCATGCGCAGTGCAGCAGCACCCTGCTGCTTACTATGGAGCAGCAGCAGCACGTACACCGCATATGCAGCAGGGCTACTCCAACTATGGATACGCACCTGTGTATGCGTCACCGCAGCAGCAGCAGCAGCGCCACGTGAAGCAGCCAAGGCAGCAGCATCAGCAGCAGCAGCAGCAGAGAGGAGGACCGTCAGGTGTACATACAACACGTCGGTGGGGGCCGCAGCCAACACCAGGCTCTCCAGCTGCTTCTCGTACACCGCAGCAGCAACAACAGCAGCAGCCTTCACAGACAGTGCAGCAGCAGCAGCAGAAGCTGCCTCCTCCTCCCCCTCGAACTGGTGGGCTTGTTGCAGAGCAGCAGCAGCAGCAGTTGCTGCCAGGTGGCAGCTTCAGAGACAAACTTCTTAAGGGTGCAGCAGGAAAGAAGCCTAGCACCCCAGCGCAGCAGCAGCAGCAGCAGCAGCAACAGCAGCAGAAGGCAAAGGAGGCACCAAGATCCAAGTCTCCACAGCCGGCGCATCACCAGCAGCAGCAGCAGCAGCGGCAGCAGCAGGAGAGCCCTGTTGATGGCCCACGTGCTACCAATGGCTGCGTGCAGCCGCAGCAGCAGGAGCAGCAGGTGCAGTCACCTGCTGCTGCTGCAGCAGCAGCAGCACCAAAACCAGCAGCAGAGACACCAAAGCAGAGCACATGGAGCGATAGAGTTCGTGCTGCCAGCCCGCAACTGCAGCAGCAGCAGCAGCAGCAATCCCCAGCAGCAGCAGCAGATGCTTCCTTGAGACAAGAGGAGCTGAAAGCTCGGCAGCAGAAACTCGGCTCTCCTGCTGCTCCTGCAGCAGCAGCAGCAGCAACAGAAGGCTCGAGGTCTGCAGCAGCAACACCCGACTTCGGGGTTACCACCAGGAGCCCCAAGGAACAGGAAACAGCAGCAGCAGCAGTAGCTCCTGCCGCAGCAGCTCCAGCAGCAGCAGCAGCATCTCCTGCAGCGCCAGCACTTCCATCCCCGAGGTCCTATTCAGCTGCTGCTGCTGCAGCATCTGCAGCAGCAACTGCTTCATCGCCGAGGCCCTCTGCAGCAGCAGCAGCAGCTCCTTCATCGCCAAGGCCTTCTGCAGCAGCATCAGCATCTCCTGCATCTCCAAGGCCCTCTGCAGCAGCAGCAGCAACTCCTTCATCGCCGAGGCCCTCTGCAGCAGCAGCAGCGACTCCATCGTCGCCTAGGCCCTCTTCTGCAGCAGCAGCAGCAGCAGCACCTGCAACAGCAGCAACAACACCTGCTGCTGCTGCAGTACCAGCAGCAGCTGCAGCCGCACCGGAAGCAGCAGCAGCAAAGCCGCAACATGCGACTGCAACACAGCAGCAACAACGGCCGGTCTCAGCAGCAGCGGAGAGCAGCAGCAGCAGCAGCAGCAGCAGCAGCGGTTCTAGCTGGGCGGATAGGGTGAAGGCAGCAAAGGCAAAGCCAGCAGTGCCTGCAGCAACTGCAGCAGCAACTGCTGCAGCAAAACAGCAGCACCACGAGCAGGAAAGCAAGCAACAGGCGTCTGGCAGGCCAGGCCACAGCCAGCAGCAGCAGCAGCAACCGCAGCAGCAGCAGCAACGGCCGCAGCCACAGTGGCCAGTAAGACGCCATGCTCCTACGGCAGATGCAGCGGACAAGCAGCAGCAGAAGCCGCAGCACACCACAGAGTGGGGACGAAGAGCTGCAGCAGCAGCTGCTGCAGCACCTGGAGCTTCAGCACCGGCAGCTGCAGCGCCAACAGCTGCAGCACCAGCAGCAGCTCCAGCAGCACCAGCAGCACCAGCAGCACCAGCAGCACCAGCAGCAGCTCCAGCAGCTGCAGCACCTGCAGCACCCGCAGCAGCACCTGCAGCAACACCGGCTGCCGGACAAGCAGAAGGAGCAGCAGCAACACCTGCAGCAGCAGCACCTGCTGCAGCTGCAACAGAAGCTGTAGAGGCTTCTCCATCTCCAGCAACTACTGCTGCACCTGCAACTGAAGGTGCAGATGCAGCAGCAGCAGCAGCAGCAGCAGCAGCAGGTGGCAGTATGTCGTGGGCGATGCGTGCGCGCTTAGCTAAGGACCGCCCTGAGCCCGTTAAGCCGCAGCCATCGCCACCGCAGCAGCAGCAGCAGCAGCAGGCAGCAGCAAATGCTGGAGAGCAGCAGCAGCAACAGCAGCAGCAGCAGCATGCAGGAGGCATGCGCGGAGGCAGAGGAAGGGGAGGGATTATAAGGGGCGGCGGGGCCCCCTCTTCTTATGATACACATTGGGGAGACAGAGGCACCAGCAGCAGCAGCGGCCGCGGTGGGGGGCCCCACACCAGAGGCAGAGGGGGCCCCCATGGTGTACATGGGCAGCGGAGAGGAGGGTTTAGACAGCCGCAGCAGCAGCACCTGCAGCAGCTACAGCATCAGCAACAGGAGGTGCCGCAGGATGCAGCACACACAGAGCAGCAACAGCCTCAGCAGGAGCAGCAGCAGCAACAGCAGCCACAACCGCAGCAGCAGCAGCAGCCGCAGCAGCAGCAGCCGCAGCAGCAGCTGCCGAAACCTACGGGAGCATGGGCTGCTGGCTCTGCTCCTCTAGGACGCTGGGCTGTACCTCCTCCACGTCCTGCTGCTGCAGATGCTGCACCAGCAGCAGCAGCAGGTGCTGCAGCAGCGACGCAGCAGCAGCAACAACAACAACAACAGGAGCCTTGTGCAGCTCCTGTGTGGCCTAAGTCTAGACCGAACGTTAGACGACAGCAGCAGCAGCAACAGCAGCCGCAGCAGCAGCAGCAGCAGCAGACTGATACGCCTCTGTTGCCCGGGCAGTGGCAGCGCTTTGCATTGCCAGGAGCAAAGAGAGACACGGTGAAGGCTGGTGAGAAGCAGCAGCAACAGCAGCAGCAGCAGCAGCAGCACGAGCAGCAGCAGCAGCACGAGCAGCAGCTGCCGGAGAGCCCAGATTGGACAGAACCAACGCCGCTGCCAATGAACAGCAGCGCTGCTGCATCTAACTTTATGTCAAGGGAGAAGCAAGCGGCAGCAGCAGCAGCAACAGCAGCAGCAGCAGCAACAGCAGCAGCAGCAGCAGCAACAACACCAGCAGAACCTGCAACAATTGTTCCTGGTATGCTACGTGATGGCTTAGGACTTAACAAGACACCGACACCCCGGCAGCAGCAAGAGAGGCAGCAGCAGCAGCAAGAGCGGCAGCAGCAGCTGGAGAAGCAGCAGCAGCTAGAGAAGCAGCAGCAGCTAGAGAAGCAGCAGCAGCTGGAGAGACAGCAGCAGCTAGAGAAGCAGCAGCAGCTGGAGAGGCAGCAGCAGCTGGAGAGGCAGCAGCAGCTGGAGAAACAGCAGCAGCAGCAAGCAGCAGAGGAGAAGGCTGCTGCTGCTGCTGCTGCTTCTCGTGCTCGGTCGCCACGGCCTAGCGATAGACTAACGGTGCAAGGAGCAGCAGCAGCAGCAACAGCAGCAGCAGGAGGAGCACAGCGTTCTCGTTCTCCTGTTAGCAGCAGCAGAAAGGGACGTTCGTCTCCTGCAGTGTCCCCTAAACCCCCTACAACTAGGGGAGACAGCAGCAGACCAGCAGCAGCAACAGCAGCAGCAGCACCAGCTAGCAGCAGCAGCATGAAGAAGGCAAGCCCACGAGACGCATGGGGTGATGACGAGCCTGAGCAGTCATTCGTGCCTACTGCAGCAGCAGCAGCAGTTACTCCAGCAGCAGTTACTCCAGCAGCAGCAACAACACCAGCGGCACCGGCAACAGCAGCAGCAACATCAAAAGCAGCAGCAGGAGCAACAGCAGCAGGAGCAGCAACAGCATCTACTGCAGGATCATTATCCGGTGTAAAGGGTTCTCCTGCAGCAGAAAGAGCAATAGCAGCAGCAGCAGCAGAAGCAGCAGCAGCAGTAGCAGCAACAGCAGCTGCAGCTGCAGCAGCAACAGCAGCAGCAGCAGCAGCAGCAAAAGTATATTCTATTGGATTCTTAGCCAAAATAAGAGAACACCCTAATTGTAGACCCTTAAAGGTCGACGGTTTGCTGCACCTAAGGGAGGGAAACTTTTATTTACCCCAAGCAGCACCAACAGGAGGAGCAGCAGCACAGCAGCAGCAGCAGCAGCAGCAGCAGCAGCATAATCATCAACAACATGGTAGAATTAGACAGCAGCAGCAGCAGCAGCAGCAGCAGCAATTAGATCATAATGAATGGCAAAGGAAGCCAAGAGATACAAATCAGCATGATGATACAATGAAGAGCTTTGCTGCACTCAGGTAGGCACCTGCTGCTGCTGCTGTTGCTGCTGCTGTTCCTGCTGCTGTTCCTGCTGCTGTTGCATTTGTATGTACTAGAGTTGTATATGTGTGTCTGCTGCTGCTGCTTGATTTGCTGCTGCTGCTCGTTCTGAATTTTTCGTTCAATTTGCTGCTGCATCTCATTCTGTTGCTGTTGCTGCTGTTGCTGCTGCTGCTGCTGTTGCTGCTGCTGCTGCAGGGCTGGAGGAGGAGGTGGATCAGGTAATCGTATATCTTCTTCTTCCTTATCTTCCTTCTTTTATCAAGAAAGACCTCCTGATTTTGCTGCTGTTAGGAGGGAGAAACAAAAGACAGTTGTATTACCTGCACCATCTAAGGATTCATGGATTGTTACACAAGAAAAACAAAAAGAGTATATTCATGTTGCTCTTGCTGCTCCTATTGCTGCTGCTGATTGTTGTTGTTGTTGTTCGTGCTGCTGCTGTTGCTGTTGCGGTTATTTTGATGGGTTGCTCCTGCTGCTGTTGTTGTATTGCTGCTGCTGTTACTGCTGCTACTGCTGCTGCTGCTGCTGCTGCACCTATAACCCCTTATATAAACCCATTTTTTTCCGGGTTTTTTTGTGTAAATATTATATTATACTGTTTCTGTTGTTATTTATGATATGATTGCTGCAACAGGGATAGTCATTTATTATTACTTCGTCAATTAAAAGGTTTATTGAATAAATTAACCTTAGAAAGATTTGATAGAATATATAACCAAATTATATCTGCAGAAATAAAAGAAGAAAAAGATGTAAAAGCTCTTATGCAAATGATCTTTGATAAAGCTGTTGCACAACATCATTTCATACAGGTAATTCTTATTTTATTGCTGCTGTTGTTGCTGCTCCTGCTGCTGCTGTTGCTGTTGTTGTTGCTGTTGCTGATTGGTATTATTTGTGGCGGTTTTTGTGGTGTTTCTGCTGTTTTTTTGGTTTATTGGTGCTCGTTGCTGTTGCTGCAGTTGCTGCTGTCGTGAATACGGGTGTATGCAGCAGAGGGATAGTATATTCATTGTTGCTGCTCTTGTTGTTGTTGCTGCTGCTGCTGTTGCTGCTGCTGCTGTTGCTGCTGCTGCTGCTGCAGATGTACGTGATGCTGTGTGGTAAGCTGAAGAAAGACTTCCAAGAACTTCTTCAAGATGATCACCGCAGCACCAAATTCAGGAGGTACGAATTTGCTGCTGTTGCTGCTGCTGCTGCTGCTGCTGCTGCTGCTGCATTTGTTGTTGTTGCTGCTGCACCAGCATTTGCTGCTGTTATTGCATATTTGCTATTGCTTCTGTTACATTTCCTGCTGCTGCTGTTGCTGCTGCTGTTGCTACTACTACTACTACAGGATACTAATTGATCAATGTGAGGATTCCTTCAATGCAAACTTGGAGCCAATTGCTGTTCCTCCTGGTCTAAGCGAAGATGATGCTTATGAATTTGAACTTAATTATAAAAAAACTATGACCGGTAGGGTTTAGGGTTTAGGGTTTAGGGTTTAGGGTTTAAGGTTTTTGGGTTTCAGGCTAAGAACGAGTGTATAGAAGGGTTTATGCATGAGGGTTTGTTTCGGTTACGGGTTGGTGGAGGTAAAGGGAAGGGAGGAAGGGTTTCTTTTATTAGGGTTTTATGGATTAGTAGGTTTATATATAATGGTTTAGTGTTTCCGATGGTTTATGATTGTGTTATTAGGGTTTACGAGGGTTTACGAGGGTTTACGAGGGTTTAGGGTTTAGGGTTTATGAATATGTATGCAGGTAATATGATATTTGTCGGTGAATTATTGAAATCTAAGATGATATCCCAAGCAATATTATTGGAGTGTATAGACAGGTTATTGCAGAAACGTGCTGAATGTATTGCTGCTAGTAACAGCAAGGATCAAGGAATTCATCATGTAGAGGCATTATGTGCATTCTTACACACTGTTGGACCTTTCTTTGATAATCCGCAGGTAACAACTTTATTAGGGTTTAATTAGGGTTTATTAGGGTTTATTAGGGCTTATTAGGGTTTATTAGGGTTAAGGGGGATTTATTATGGCTGACGAGGGTTGGAGAGGGTTTGTCAGCTTACGATGGTTTATGAGGGTTTGCGAGGGTTTACGAGGGAGGTTGTCAGGGTTTGTCGTTGAGTGTTTAGTGTTAACTATTTAAGGTTTAGAATCGATTGGGGTTTAGGGTTTAGGGTTTAGGGTTTGGTGGCATCATGAGGGAGTGATTCATCTCATGACCATAAATACATGAATTTTGTATCATTTTTTCTCGTTTTTTTTCTAGGGTTTAGAAAATAAGGGTTTAGGGTTTAGGGTTTAGGGTTTGTGTCTGTATTTGTTTGCAGTGGCGTTTATATGGGGAGTTTTGTCGTCGTATGGATTTGGTGGCTTCTTTAGCTAGTGATTCATCTCTTCCTTTTCGTGTTCGTTGCTTAATGTCTGATGTCTTGGACTCTCGTGCTGCTGGTTGGCGTAGACACCCTGCACATAAGCAGGAGGGTCCAGCAACATTAGAGGAGTTGCATGCACAGCAGCAGCAGCAGCAGCAGCAGCAGCAAATGCAGCAGCAACAAATGCAATCACAGATGGGTGGAGGTGGTGCTGGAGGCAGCAGCAGCAGCAGCAATGCTTTTGCTGGTCTAAGAGATTCACATCGTGCACTGCAGCAAGAAGAAACAGGTTGGGCTGTTGCCTCAGGAAGAAGAGGAGGAGCAGCAGCAGGAACAGCAGCACATCCTAAACCACCACCAGCTCCTGTAAGTTGATTATCTAGACGACTGTCCTTTACGTTTAGGGTTTAGGGTTTGCTTTGTAGGGTTTAGGGTTTGGGGTCTAGGGTTTAGGGTTTGAGATCTAGGGTTTAGGGTTTAGGGTTTAGGGTTTGGATGTTATTCAGGCATCGAATTCTCTCTCTGGAATGGGAGGCAGCAGCCAGTCGGCATTCAGGTAACCTGCTGCTGCTGTTGTTGCTGCTGCTGCTGTTGCTGCTGTCTTAGGGTTTAGATGTGCTGTTGATCTAGTTCACGGGTTGTGAGGGTTTAGGGTTTATATAAACACCTAGATCTGCACTTGTTTCTCGCCGCCATTTCTGCTGCTGCAACTTTTACCATTGCTGCTGTTGCTGCTAATACTGGTGCTGCTGCTGTTGCTGCTGCTGTTTTTGCTGCTGCAGCCAGTTAGGCCGTATGCGACAGGAGCGTGAGAGAGACAGGAGACAGCAGCAGCTAGGAGGAGACCTAAAGAGAGTAGTTGGTGGAGAGACAAAGAGAAGTGCAGCAGAAGGAGAAAGAAGAAAGAAAAGAACAGAAACAAGGTAAGCATAAACCCTAATCAAGGGTTTAGTGTTTTAGGGTCTAGGGTTTAGGGTTTCTAGGACTGTATTTTGTTATTTCTGGGGTTTAGGGTTTAGGGTTTCATAAGTTGTGTTGTTATGTATAATGATGCAGCAGCACGGCAACGACCAGCAGCAGCAGCAGCAGCACAACACCAGCAGCACCAGCACCATCATCATCAAGCAGCAGCAGCAGCAGCAGCAGCAGCAGCAGCAATATAGATGAAGAACAAGCACGTATTGTTGCTCGTCGTGAATTTAGTGACATTGTTTGTCTAACAACAGAAGAAGCAGTTGATGTATTCACCTCCCTCTCTTATGCATCACAAGAGGCACAAAAGGTAAATAAATAAATTAAATAAATAAATAAATAAATAAATAAATAAATAAAAATTAATTTAATTAAGTATATTTAATTTGATGGGTTAAGGGAGCAGTTGGTGTTTCTCCTTCCTTTTCCTTGCTGCTGCTCCAGTTGCTGCTGCTCCAGTTGCTGCTGCTGCAGTTGCTGCAGCGTCTGCTGCTGTATTTGCTGCTGCATTTATACATATATGTATCTGTATTATTGTGTGTCTTTGCTGCTGCATGCAGGTGTTGCTGCTGGAGTTGCTGCAGATAGCAGCAACAAAATTTGCATCGGATAATCAGCAGCAGCAGCAACAAAGAAAAACTTTCTTTAAATTTATTGTCGCCCTCGCCTCTTCTCCTTCCTTCCCCCCCGACACACTCAAAATGGGGTACGATTTATTTAAAAATAAGGGTTTAGGGTTTAGGGTTTAGGGTCTGGTTTTTAGGGTTTAGGGTTAAGGGGCATGTATATATATGCATTTTTTGTGGGGAAAAGAGAGACGAAGGAGTGATTGTTTGCCTTATCTTCCGTGCTTCCCTCTCCTTACGGGTTTAGGGTATAGGGTTTAGGGTTTAGGGTTTAGGGTTTAGGGTTTGTGTACAGTTTGCGGGAGTTTATGGGTTTAAGCGGAGAAGGCGAAAGTCTTTACAAGGATTTGTTGATTGATACTCCTCATCTTCCTTCCTTTATTAAACAATTATTAGATACTATTGAAGGTATTTATTCTTATTTATTTATTTATTTATTCTTTTTTATCCCTTTTTATCCTTTTTATTCTTCTTTATTTCCTTTTCATCCTTTTTTCCTCTTTTTTTCCTTCATTTTAGTCTTTTTTGCCGTCTTTTTATCCCCTTTTGCTCTTTTTTTTTTTCTTTTTTTTTGTGTGCTGCATGCATTACTGCTTCTGCATGCGTTGCTACTGTTGCTGCATGTGCTGTGTTGCTGCTGCAGCGGCGGACAGAGACCGCCAGCTGCTGAGCACAGCAGCTCTGGACGACCTGCGAGGGCAGCTATGATAAACCCTAAACCCTAAACCCTAAGTTAGGGTTTACGTTGAGAAACCCAAACCCTAAACCCTCTCCTCCTTCAAGGGTTTAGATTGATGCCCTCGCCAACACCCCCCTGGATAAGGGTTTATATATCTAGCTAGATAGCAAACCCTAAATTAGGGTCTAGTTCAGTATCAATCCCTAAACCTCCTATACACCGGTTTAGGTTTATCTCAAACCCTAATTTAGGGTTTAGGCGCCTCGTATAAACCCTCATTATTTATGGGTTTAGAAGCATCTTAAACCCTAAATTAGGGTTTATGCGCATCTACAAACCTAAATTTGTGTCTACGTGTTTATTCAACATTAAGTTGTTATTCAGTGTTCCTTCTTATTTTTACAAACCCTTAATTAGGGTTTAGATATATCTCATAAACCCTAATTTAGGGTTTAGTTTTGTTCCAAGTACGGATATTCGTTTGAACAGTGCTAAACCCTAAATTAGGGTTTAGGGTTTAGCGAGTCGTTCATGTTTAGATAAACCGCGCTGTAAACAGCAACAAACCTTGTTTATAAGTTTTCTTGTGTAAACCCTAAACCCTAACAGCACACAGCAGAAATTGCTGCTGCTGCGCCTGCCAACGCAAGCAGCAGCAGCAGTAGCAGCAGCAACAAGAGCTGGTGCAGCAGCAGTGGCAGCAGCAACAACAGCTGGTGCAGCATCAGTAGCAGCAACAACAACAGCTGGTGCAGCAGCAGCAACAACAACAGCTGGTGCAGCAGCAGCAACAACAACACCTGGTGCAGCAGCAGTAGAAGTAGCAGCAGCAAGAACAGCTGGTGCAGCAGCAGCAAGAAACCATGCGGGGGCAGCAAAAACAGCCGCTGCAGTAGCAGCAGAGTACTAACTCTTCTACTGCTGTTGCTGCAGCAGTAACAGCAGCGCGATGAGCAATCACAGCACAAATAGCTGTTATAGCTGCAGCAGCAACAATAGCTGTAGCAGCAACGGCAGCAGCAACAGCAATAGCTGCAGCAGTATATCCAGCCAGTGTAAATTATCTGTTCTTTAGGGGTTTGTTGATGGGCTTGGTGCAATGTTTAGGCTTTGCGTTCTAGGGTTTAGGGTTTAGGGTTTAGGGTTTTGGGGTTAGGGCTGGACAGGTGGGAGCTTGTTGTCTTGTATATTTACGAATGAGTTGTTAGCTATGGTTTCATATACTAAACTAACAATATATAGAAGTATTATCTAGGGTCTAGGGTTTAGGTTTCAGGGTTTAGTGTTTAGGGTTTAGGGTTTGGGGGGAGTAGACCAGGAGCCCCCAATGGCGGTGTCTCATGGTGATAGGAGAAAAGAATAAAAATTACTTGTTAAATAAACAATGAATAGGAGTTAATAACTACAAAACCCTCGATATAAACAGTAAACCCTAAACCCTAAACCCTAAAACCTAAAACCCTGCGGCGCAGCTGGCTCCCCGCCTCGGCGTCCGCAACGTCTCCCCTTGGTGGTTAGAGGTTAGGGTTTAGGGTTTGGGGTTTAGGGTTTGCAGTTTAAGTTAATTTGTCTTTTCTTCTTTCTTCAGCACATGTGGTAAAGGGTTTTAGCTTTACTTCCTTCTGGTTCGTTAAACCCTAAACCCTAAACCCTAAACCCTCACCGCTAGACTCGGCTGTGTGCTGTATGTAGCAATCGAAGGCGACAGGCAGAATGGATTCTCAGCTGACCCCTAAACTCTAAACCCTAAAACCTAAACCCTAAACCCTAATAATCTTTAGTGCAGGCAGTTCTGTCTTCTTATTTCTTTCGAGGGTTTCCGTTATAGGGCGACAGCGGCGGTGTCTTGCAGGTAGGGACTTCAAACCCTAAACCCTAAACCCTAAACCCTAATTGGTGTGTTTGCGTTCAGGGTATACAAACGATGAGGGTTTATCTTTTTCTTTCTTTGGGGGTTTTGGGGGTTTTACCCTCGTGGGGTCTTAAGCTTGGTGAGACCCCTCAAACCCTAAACCCTAAACCCTTGGATGCTGCTGACGGCGCGAATGAGGGTTTTATTACTCAAGAGGAAGAGCTGGTGGTGCTGCAGCAGCAGGACGAGCAGCAGCAGCAGCAGCAAGTAGATGGTGAGGGGGAGTTAACAGAAAAACAGATGTGGGCTGCTGCAGAGGAGGCGCAGCTGCTTGCAAATGCAGCAGCAGCAGCAGCAACAGCAGCAGATGCAGCAGATGCAGCAGAAGAAGCAGCAGAAAATAATGATGAGGATGCAGCACAGAAGTTTGCTGCTGTAGCTACTGCAGCAGCAGAGGAGGCAGTATCCCTAGCAGCAGCAGCAGATGAGCAGCAGCAACTAGACTCTACATCAGCAGCAGCAGCAGAAGAAGAAGGAACAGCTCTACAACTGCAGCAGCAGCAGCTAGACCCTCAGCAGCAGCAGCAGCAGCAGGAGCAGCAAATGCCTAAAAAAATATTTGCCCCAAGAAGCATCCGCTTTGCTCATCCATCATCAGGCAAAGCCATCACCATTTACTTTCATAATGCCTATGGTAACCCTAAACCCTAAACCCTAAACCCTAAACCCTAGTCTGTCCATAAGAAGATAGAAGGTGTGTGTATGTAGGGGTTTATGTATTTGGTAGTCAGGAAACAAGGGTTTATCTTTTAGGGTTTAGGGTTTAGGGTTTTATGATGTAGCATTGTTTATTGTTTGTATTAAGAAGAGGGTTTTATGTGTAGGGTTTATTAGGGTTTTCTGCATTTTTAGGGTTTAGGGTTTAGGGTTTAGGGTTTAGGGTTTGTGTTTCAGAGCCATTTGAGGGTTTAAGCTGTTCGTCTTTATCCTCTACTCCTGACATTTGTCGTCAACATCCTCGTTGTTTTTATAATGAGGGTTTAGAGGGTTTAGACGAGGGTTTAGGGTTTAGTAGTTTAGGGAAAAAGTGTTTATTATCTCCTGGTTATCTAAATTTAGCATCTACTACTCTTTGTTATAGAACTGCAGATCTACCACAAACCCTAAACCCTAGCCCTGTATCTATAAGAGAGTTACAGGCAGTAACAGAGGATTTATTCGAAGAATTCGCCGTAAACCCTAAACCCTTCCTTGATGCCTTTGATCCTAATCAACCTGATAGCCGCAGCAGCCTCTGTTCTCTTGTTAAGGTAAACCCTCGAGAGTTTAGGGTTTAGGGTTTACACGAGGATCGTCAGGGTTTTGAGGAAATTTAGGGGCAAATGTGAGGGTTTAGGGTTTAGGGTTTACAGGAAATGGATTAGGGTTTGGGTTATCTGTATATATATATGGCTGGTGCAAGCAAAAATTCAGGATTAGGGTTTAGGGTTTAGGGTTTAGGGTTTGGAGTATTTTGTTTATATGTTTAGGAATTAGCAACAGAGTTATTGATGACGGAGAGAAATATTCAACCCTTGCCTGAGGATGCAGAGGTGCAAACCCTAAACCCTGATGAGGGTTTAGGTGGTGAGGTGCTACAGAGCTCATTAGGGTTTATTAATGGAGGAAACCCTCTGCAAAACATTCCTTTTTCTCGTCTTGTAAACCCTCAGCCACATAGCCAACTATCTAAACAAGACACTAAAGCCCCTGCAGGTATGCTCGAGGGTTTGCCGAGGGTTTGGGGTTTAGGGTTTAGTGCACTCAACATCTCCGTGTTTATGAACTCCTCCAATTAGAGAGATTCTTTTTATCGAAAGTTCAGGGTTTAGCCTCTTAGGGTTTAGGGTTTAGCTAGGGTTTAGGGTTTAGGGTTTACATTTTTTTCTTAGGAATTTCAATACATATTCCTAATAAATCGAATGCAAAAAATACGAATTGGTATAAATAGATTGACGTGTTCAAATTTTTAGGGTTTAGGGTTTATCTAGGGTTTAGGGTTTAGGGTTTAGGGTTTAGGGTTTAGGGTTTTTTTTTTTCTTAGGAAATTCTATCCATATTCCTGATAAATCGAATGCAAAAGTACGAATTGGTATAAATGGCTTTGGACGAATTGGTCGACTTGTTTGCCGAATTGCTATGCAGAGGCCGGATATGGTACATTTTTTCTTTTATTTATTTATTTAATTAATTAATTAATTAATTAATTAATTAATTAATTAAATATAATTAAATATAATTATATAGGAATAGAAACAAATACAAATAAAATAAATATAAATACATATGTATAATTAGATGTATTATGTATAATTATATATATTATATAATATATATATAATAAATATATAAAAAAAGTATATGTATATATACGTATACGTGTGCACGTATATATATATATATTATATATATAT